GTAAAAACTGCTGGATTCAAATACTGGATGAATTTAGAGGTTAAAGGTCAAGGTTGCAGCGATCTAACCAAATAAAACATTTTTGTCTTTACCTCGACAACACATAAACATCATCTAGTGTTGTTTCGTTTCAATTTTCTTCATATGCTACTCAAAGTTTTTAATGCACATGCAAATATAAACATACACCATCCGTACTAAAACATACGTAGCTATAACTTTTAAGAGAAATGAGTAATTAGTCAAACTGCACCCGCTCTGTTTTGTTGGGGGCGGCTGACTTTGGCTTTTTAGCATCTGTCTAACCCTAATGCTTACTCTGCTGCCCAACAGATATAAAACTGCTCGTATATTAGTCTGCAGCTGCGGTGTTGAGAAGATTAGTAGGGCACACTCTTCCCCCTCCAATTTGCACTGCAATCAGTAGCACAATTTTCTCTAGTTATAAAGAGTAGACATAGCCATTAACGCTCCTTTGATTACAACCATGTTAATATTCTCGTGTTTGAAGACTAAACTCCTGGCACCGCTCTGAAAAGTCCTCAAAAATTTCCTGGCAGAGTATGACAAATTATATTTAGAGTATTACAATTTGTATAGGATATATTATTAGGCTTTATATGATAAAATGCAGGGAGATTGTTGGGCAGTATAATTGCAGATGTTTGATAGAAAGCAATTAGGCAAAGAAAATGAGTGAATAACTGCTATATTTACCATTTAAAATCACCTGCCTGAAATAACACTGCTCTTTCATGCTGTTTTGACATGTCGGAGCATGGATGTAGGACTGTTTTTGGAGGCCAGATGTGCACCGTGGTTGCACAGGTGAATTGTCCTGCTGTGGGAGCCAAGTGCTGCTGGAAAATGCTGTTGTCACAGGGGCGTGTGCAGGTTTCCTTAACAGTACACCCAAGTTAGGACCCAAGATTTCCTAGCAGAACATTGCTTTGTAATGAGAGGATCAGCGTTGTCCTCTTCACTTTTTATTGCATTTAATATTGTGGCTGTGTGCTGTATATGTCCGGTATATGTACAAATCCATTCAGACAGACATAACGTCCTGTCCTTCCCAGCCCTGAAGACAAAAACTCCTCTTTATGATGGATAGTCTTTCAAAGTAAATGGGCTCATTTGCTCTGAAGTTTATGCATCCTGGTAACAGCGAGGCTATCCGAATCCCCCAAGTACTCCATCTTGTAAGCTTTATCCCCTCCACATGGTTATAATTTGAGAATTTCCCGATTTTCAAAGCTTTTTTTTTTTTGGCGTAGTGTTGTTAATTAAAAAGTGGACTAGTTTTGTTGTGGCGTTCCACTTTGCCAAGTAGGGAAATCACCCTCTTCTTTCCACTTATTTCTTTGCCTTTCTCGCTCTCTCTCTCTTTCAGCCGTTCGCCGTCCCGTCCGCCTTTGTCAAGAATAAAGCTAGCCCCACCACTTTGTAAATGAAACATCCTCCCAACATTAATGGGATTGAGCAGATGTTTTCTGTTTGGATGGTCAGAGATGGGACACTAAAGCCTGCAGCAAAACAAAACAAAAAGATTTTAAGAGGAAAAAACCCCAGAAAGCAAAAGCAGATATTTATGGAAATGATTATATCACTTCCCTCATATCCCATATGAACGCATGTCTCGCACACATGGCAAATTAGAAGTCATCCCTTCCAGTTTAGCGCACGTCTTAGAGCATGTGCCAGCGATCTTGGTACTAAAACATCGTAAATAACACTGTAACCCCTGGGACAAGGTGTTATAAATAGGACGTGTCAAACCCCGCTGTAGCCAGCCGCTGTTTAAAACCTTCTCTTTTCACCCACCGGGCCGCTCAGCTGCTTTTTAATTTGGCCCTCCCGTGGGCTAACCGACTGACGCCTCTCGGCAAGGGCCTCTGTATTTCAACAAGGCCACAAAAGCCCCAATCCTCGGGCACTCGCACTCGCAAAGCTCTCCAGCCTTCCTGAGCTGTTACTTTTTTGGAGCCCAGACTCTACCATCAGCAGAAGAGAAACACCGGCTCTGGCCAGAAGGCAGTGGCCAAGTCTCGTCTGTCAGAAAGCTAGGGGCCAGACTCTCCAGCCACTGGGTGGGCAGGGCCCGACCAAAACAGAGAGAGGAGCAAAAGTGAACGAGAGCGGAGAACAGGGGAGAGAGGGTTTGAGAGCGAGAGGAAGCTCCCAGATAAACAGACCGCAGCGCCTCAACTCCTAATCGCCCTGCGCTTCCGTTTCCAGACTCTATAATTAGAAGGGCCCCGGCCCTTCTTTCTCTTTATTCCCAGTTGACGCAAATGCTTCTTGTGGCTTGGCACCTCGTTTGGGGCGTGGGTTTTCAAGAGTTTACAGGCCCTGGGCCTTAGCTTTTTGGCTTTCTGGTCGCTCTGATACGGCATGACTAGCTAACCACTGTCTTAATGCACACTTCACTTGGCTTTAGTTAGAGTTTCTTTCTTCCACCTCTGATAATCTGCACGAACCTATCATTTATCCAGATTTTCATCATCTGCGAGCAGTGCTTTTTCTTTACTAATTTTCAAATCTTGACCAAGGGAAACTTCGACTCTGAATGTGCAAAAATGGCTTCTTTTTTTTCCAGAAAGGGAGTGTTTTCCATCTCCCTCGCACGTGTTGTTGGATCCTTTTAATCTCATGCCATTCCAACATCCTCTTTTCACATTTGACATGCCACCCAATAAAGCCCGGCCACTAATTAAAACCTACTGCAGCCTCCACATAAAAGATTCCAAGTGGAAAAACTGAGAGGAAAATACTAATTACTTTAATATTATTTATGTCTGGAAGTCATCAGAAGGACAGGGCCTTGGACATTTTTTACACTCTGCATCAATGAGTTGTATTATGAGTTGCTGCTCGATCTCCGTGTTTGTAGCATGTCAGAAGGTTTCTGGGGATGGGTTTTGGATTGTATTTGAAAAGCAGTGTAGACGAGCCAGTTTAGATCTGGGTTTGTTCTGGTGTGGTTTGTTGGGCATGTTGTTTATGGTTTGGACCTATACTTTCTGGAGTTTGACGAGCTTCAAATAAAACAGGACCAAATGAATGGGCCTGTCAGTGTTGGTTACACTTGTGCTGCGCTGTGGTTCAGCGTTTTGGTGATTCTGAATGCGCATAGACACGCCCATAAATGTGCACTGATGCTCGAATACATAGATTCCCTCTTTTATGGACGCTCGTTTCGTCTGTCCTTGAAGAATCACACAACTCGAGCCATGCTTTTACCAGACCGAGCTATCATGTAAGGCAAAGTTGCATTTTATGACTGTGACAAATGATAGCTGGCTATGTTTAATGGGCTGGTTTGTTTGTTTTAAGTGCACAGTAATTCTTTCATGCTGTCTAACATGTGTCATGCACAGTTTGTATGGTTGTATGCTGCTGGAATAAAATACGGTTGAAATATTTTGGTCGGTCAGTGTACCATTAGCAACATTTAGACACACTACACAAATTGGAGTATCATTTTGAAACATCTTGATTAAAATGATTAAAATAAACAAAGAAAAACCAAGATGTAACAAGTGCTTCAGGTAATAGGTCTAAAGGTCTCTGGTGGAGTGATGGGACATCATACTGCCTCGTTTGATCGTTTGATGATTGCGGTAAAAACACATCTTCTGTATGCTATAGAAGGCCAGATGATATGCATATGGTTAACATAGATGTTTTCTAGGGGTGCAACAATAATCGTATAGATATTGAACCGTTCATACAGTGCTTTCGGTTCGGTACGCATATGTATCGAACAATACAAAATATATTATTTATTTTATCAACTTTTCTTCTGACGATGCGGTCTGTGTTGAGCGTTCAGTGGATCTGCGTTCGACTACTCCGCCTAGGCTGCACTGTCGAGCGCAGATCCACTGAGCGCAGCGCAAGCTAGCAAGACTGAAGCTAAGCTCATTGCAACATGGCAAATTGAACCTCCCCCACCCTCATTCAGATCTGGCGTTTGGAACTATTTTGGT